TGAATGCACTCTATAATGAATGCAGTCTATATGTACTAAAAATTGTATATGAAAGAGTAAGCGGTCTGGACAGAACATAGTTCACAAAATGATCTGGAGTACACAATACCCGCCTCCTCCTCCTCCAGAACAGTATCAAATTTGTACAGGAAGAAGACTGTTAACCTCAGGTATACTGACGGATCTGTTTTAGTGTGTTTTATAGTAGTTTTGGATGGTTATTGAAGAAAAAAACAAAAATTACTACAGAATTGAAATAACAAAATAACTTTATTTAAATCTGAACATAATTTAACATTAAACTCAACAAATTGTTGTAAGCTTATTATATGCAGTCTTCAGGGCAAGGTTGTTCAAAGGTTAATGCCTATATTCTGCACTTATTCAATTAAGGACTTGATTGGAATGGTTTGATGCTAATCATGCTTTGAACAACCCAGCCAGAAAAAGAACCATGTTCACTGTGATACAGTTTCTGTGATACACACAAARCTATGAACATATAGTTATAAAAACATATTTGACTAAAAATAATTATATTATAACAACAATAAATAGAATATATTTATAAATAGAATAAATTGATGAAAAAGGCACACAACTTGCAACTTGTATTACTACTTTTTAATGTATGTTTCAGCACTTCGGCCTTCTTCTCAACATGTTATATGTTCAAAGCTCAATTAATGCATATCCTGGATATAGGATTAATGCTTTGATATTGAAGTTGAAACAAACCTTGTTCAGAAAATGAAAAGTCTATAGTCAGTGTTTGTTCAAAGACTGCACAAGTTGCACATTTGTTAAACTTAGACTTTAGATAGTAATTGTTGCCACTTGTAGGATTTCTTACATCTGACACTTTATGGATGTATTCAGTTATTCCTTCAGTAGTGTTTTCAAATGATGACCTGCAAAGAGGTGTAAAAATAGGAAAATGTAAGCAATAGGGAGAAAGATAAAGATGTAAAGCATAGAAACATGTTATTAAAAATGCTTGACATTCTAATTATACAATAACGTGTATAGGAAAGGCTTTTTTGTATGTTTTTTGTGTTGGTACATGTGTCCCTTGGTAACTAGTGCAATAAGAATATTCTGAGTCTTCATGCTTTGATATGATGGCCGTTTTCTCTGCACGCAAAGGCGAAAAAGTGTCGAAAATCCTAAAAAGATCTCCACCAAACACTTCCTCAAAGATGCGTAGAAACCTGTGCCTGATTCGTGATGCAAAAAAGGATAAAAGCATTGTATAAAATAGATATAAACACTCACCTTCAGCAATTGAAGTTAAACAGCAGTGAAAAGCAAAACATCCAGATGCAAACGGAATAACATCAATCAATAACAAATCGGTGTCACCACGTGAAACGATGCATGATCGCTAAAGGTTGGAAAATCGTAGAATACTCCAGAAAAGACGAAAATAATAATAAAAACACACAAAAACAACAAATGTATCGATTTCTATCATCTCTGTTAGTCTTTGATGCAAATTCCATTTCCTAGATGCTATTTGACTCGTTCGTAAATGAGCGCCGATTGAAACCCGAATGACCTTCGATTTTTCCGAATGTCTATCAGTCACTCTATCATCACTCTATCACTCAACTCGATGACATATCAGCTTCGCATCTACGATGTGAAGCTGCAAAAATGAGAACAATATAATGTAAGTTTAAATAACATACAACGATATATGTGTATATATATGGTAATGCCATTTAACATTGAATAAAAGAATTAAAAAGCACACTTTTCAGATATTAATGGGTAAGGAAAATAAAACAGCAAATTCATATTCTAATTCTAATTAACCCTTCAATAGTATTCACTGATGCCACAGGCCAAAAAAGCCAAACTCTGGAAAAATGACATGGAGGCTGCGGATGCAAGCTGTCAAATTCGAAGGCAAATCCTACAGATGTGCAGCACAGCTGTATAATGTCCCCACAACAACTCTGGTTGACAGATGCAGTGGTCGTATAACTCATGGCATCAAAAGTGGCCCAGGAACCATCCTTTCTCCAGAAGATGAAGCTAAACTTGCTGTCTATCTTGTTGACTGTAGCAATAAAGGATATGGGAAGAGTAAAGACATAATATATATGGTTACCTGCATACCTAAGAAAAGAGGCCATAGCACTAAAGGTGGTTCACTGAGTAAAAAGTGGTGGCAAGGGTTCCTCAAGAGGCACCCAGAAATATCAATGAGGGCCTCCCAAAATTTTTGTGTTGTGAGGACCCTTGTCACCCATAACATGATCCACACATTTTATGAGAGGCTTCTAGAAGCTATGACCACCAATGGTGGAAGTCTCTTGGAAAAACCAGCTCATATCTACAATTGTGATGAGAGTGGTTTTAGTTTTGATGCCATCAATAAGATTGTAGCAGCTGCGCGTGGTATAAAACATGTACCAAGAGTTTCAAAGGGGCAACACAAGAAGGTAACTGTCCTGGCTTGTGCTTCTGCAGATGGCAATACAATGCCCCCCATGTTCATATACAAAAACAAGTCTGGTAGGGTGCCTGCCTCCGTTCAAGAGGAAGCCCCTCCTGGAACCTTATTTGCCGCCCAGAAGTCCGGCTGGATAGACAAAGATCTATACCTGAAATGGTTTAAAAGTCTCTTTTTTTAAACACATACCAGCAGAACGACCTGTGATGCTTCTAGTTGATGGCCACAAGTCACATGTCACTGAAGATCTAATCAAAGAAGCTGTGGCAAATGGTATTGCTATTTTCTGTCTTCCTGCTCACTCTTCCCATCTTCTTCAGCCGCTTGATCTTTCATTGTTTGGTCCTCTCAAGAGGGGCTGGGTCAAAGCGTGTGCAGCATTCAACCATGTAGCGTCAGTTGTTGTGTGTCAAAGAAACTTCGCCAAAATCTTCAATGTAGCTTGGCACACATCAATCACACCTGAAATCATACAAAGTGGCTTTAAAAAGTCTGGCATCTTTCCATACTGCCCAAACAAGTTTGACTACTCCAAACTTGCAACATCCATTCCTGGAGAGTCCAGTCAGAGTCATGAAGTACCTAGAGAATCCAGTCAGAGTCA